GGTAAGAGAGTTCCCATTTCTCCACACCCTCTCCAGCATTTATCATTTTTGGACTGTTTAATGATGGCCATTCTGATTGGTGTGAGGTGATACCTCATTGTAGGTATCATTTCGATTTGCATTTTTCTGGTAATTAGTGATATTGAGCATCTTTTCATGTGCCTATTGGCCATCTGTATGTTTTCATTGGAGAAAAGTGTGTTTAGGTCTTCTGCCCATTTTTTGATTAGATTGTTTGTTTTTTTGTTACTGAGTTGTATGAGCTGTTTGTATATTCTAGAAGTTAAGCCCTAGTCTGCTGCATCATTTGCAAATATTTTCACCTATTCTGTAGGTTGCCTTTTCATTTTGTTTATGGTTTCCTTTGCTGTGCAAAAGCTTGTAAGTTTAGTTAGTCCTATTTGTTTATTTTTGTTTTTATTTCTATTGCCTTGGAAGACTGACCTAGGAAAACATTGCTATAGTTTATGTCAGAGAATGTTTTTCCTACGTTCTCTTCAAGATTACTAGTGTCCTGTCTTATGTTTAAGTCTTCAAGCCATTTTGAATTTATTTTAGTGTGTGGTGTGAGGGAGTACTGTAACTTCACTGATTTACATGTGGCTGTCCAGCTTCCCAACACCACTTGCTGAAGAGACTGTCTTTTCCCCATTGTATATTCTCGCCTCCTTTGTCAAAGATTAATTGACTGTAGGTATGTGAGTTTATTTCCAGACTCTGTATTCTGCTCCATTGATATGTATGTCTATTTTAGTGACAGTACCATGTTGTTTTAATTACTGTAGCTTTGTAGTATTGTTTGAAGCCTGGAGGAGGAGTTATGCCTCCAGTTTCATTCTTTACTTCAGTGTTGCTTTGACAATTCTGGGTCTTTTGTGATTCCATATGAATTTTAGGATTATTCTAGTTCTATGAAAAAAACCCTTATGATTTCTTAAAAATTTCTTACATTTGCCTTTGTCCTTTTATTTCTAGTGACCGAGTTTTGCTTTGTGATCCACTGTAAAGTTTTCTTTTAATTACTTGGATTTAGGCTCTATGTTTATTGATTGGAAAAATGTTTGGTCTTAAAAACATGACAGAACCAATATACTTTTTTCTTACTTAATTTAAGTCATTATAAAGATCTTGGGGTTTTTTTTGTTTGTTTGCTTGTTTCATTTTAATCATGTTTTTCTTTATTTAATTATGAATATTTCTATTTTTATTTTTGTTCTTCTTGTGGATACTATTACACCTATAATTTTACATAGCTAATATAGTCCTCCATTTCTTTAGAAAGCATTTCTTTAGATAGTGGTCTTCCCATTAAGCAGTGTCAAAATTACACTCCTGTTTTCTCTTCACCATACAGTTTTAGTTCATATTATTTTTTAGTTCTAGTGCTTATGTTTTATACCTTTAACTATACTTATATCTAACATTTGATCTTTTAGCTTTCAGAGTTTTTTTTGAAGTTTAAATATTTCTTTGCAACTTCAAAGATTTTTTTTTTTACTTTCATGTACCTTCCCTATTTCTATTTCCTTCCACCCTTTTAATAGCTTATAACATTTACATTTTGTTCCATGACTGTAATCCCCACAAGTGTTTTAAATGTATTCCTAGAGCTGAGTGAATTTATTACTAACTGCCAATACCTTTGGTATAGTTTCTCCATTCATCTTTTGGTTACTTATATTTCATCCTTTAATAAGTTTCCTTAGGAAGGGTGATGGGAATTATTCCCTGAGTTACTGCATTCAAAACAATGTATGTCTCCTGCATTAATTTTGAACAACAGTTTAGCTGGGTATAAAATTCTTTGCACATTCATTTCCTGAAGTATTTATGGGCATTGCTACTCTGACTTCTGTGTTGAATGTTGATGTGTGGAAGTTTGAAGTCAGTCAGATTCTTTGCATTGTTATTGGTGAATTGATCTTTTTGACTAGATGCTAAAGGGATTTTTTTTTATCTTGAAATTTACTAACTTTACTAGGATTTGTAGACATGACTGAGTTCTTACAATGTATAGATACAATTTAAATTGTTTCTTTCTGAAAATTTTTCTTGAATTACATCTCTAGTTTTTTTTCTGGGTTTTTTTTTTTTTTTGGTTGTTCTCTGATTGACTGTTATCTATGTGGTAGATCTACTTTGTCTTCTGTATTATTTTCTAATTCTTATAAACTCTTAATGTCTACTTCATTTGCCCATTTTCTCAGTTCTGTCCTCAAAGCTTTTTACGGAGTTGATGGTATCTATTCTACTTTGGGCAGCTTTCTTTGGTGGAATGGTTTTAGAAAGCCTGTGCTTTTAGCTAGCTTGAGATCTTTAGATTCCAACTGCCCTCATGGTAACAAGTAGGTAGGGCTGTAAAAATAAATCTTTGAAAGAAGAGACAGATGCTTTTCACTATCTGCCAAGTCTGCTGTTTAGTCATATTTATTCTTTATTATATTCCAAATAATCAAAATTCCCCTTTGAGGTTTTGCTTTTTCCCTCTCCTGCCTACTCATCTCACTTCCTTGCAGGAATTTTTTTACTTTAATTTGAATTTATATTGTTATGGATGTTTTTAATTTGTGAATTTAAAAATAAATATTTGAAAGATTATTTGGTTACATTATGTAGAAGAAGGATTATGGAGTTGTCTCTTTGCTCCCAGAGCAGATTGAGTTTTCTTTCCCCAAGGAAGAATTAGGATTAAGTCATGCGTAAATGGTTTATCAGGCTTTGTGATATTTTATTAAATGCAAGTATTAGATGACAGTTGAAGGGAAATATGTAAAGCTGAGGAAAATACAAATTTGGAGGTCCTTTGAATGTGCTCTTTTTGTTTTTTAACATTGTATGTAGATAGGGTAGATGCTTTTTCATTGATCAATGTACCTCTTAGGATGTGGGTATTCTCCTTTAAGTCATTTGTGATGGAATAGATTTTGTGACTATGCTGATAGCATGCTGGTGGTCAAAGATTTGAGGAGCACTTCTGATCATGTTCACATCATCCACTTGTCCATTTGGCTCTTGGGCAATGGTAAAGGATTCTAAGCGTCACTTTGGACGTTTGAGGATAGCATGATTCAAAGAAATTGTGGCCACAGGGCTTAAGGACTTGGACAGTGACTGGCTGTGCCCACCTCATTTCTTGGTATGAAGTGTTTTCCCCAGTTAGTGTGTATCAGGGTGTTATGCCACAGTATATTACCTATTTATCTGGTATATGTGTGTCAGTCTCTACTCATGGCACATGGGAAAGGAGAGGGCCATTCTTCTGGTGGACAGCAACTGGAGTCTTAGATTCTCATGGCTGTGGGAGGGCTCACCTCCTATTATGTTTTATAAGGTTTATGGTAGGCAGTTTGGCCAGAAGCAGTTGTGGTAGCAGTATGTGCCTTTTGTACTCTCTTACTCTGTGCCAGGTGCTGTGCTAAATGCTTTTATATCCTGTACCTCGTTTTTAGTTAAAGTAATTATGTGAGCTTTTAATTATTATACCCAATTTACTGAAAGAAAATTGAGGCTCGGAGTTAAATCACATGACAGTTGAGTAGTAGAATTGGAATATGAATCCAGGACTCTCTCATTCAAAAGCCCATGTCCCTAGTGTCTTTATTACTGTCTCTCAGGGGTGGTGATGAGATTGTAAATTTTCTAAAGCTAAGTGAAAATAAGGCCTTATAGGCAAACAGGGTCAAATTGTTCATAGTATATCATTTAAAACAGCTTAACTCTGTGTGAATAATTAAAACAAACTCTCTCATTCAACTTATCCCTTCCTCTCACAATCTAGAGAATCAGATTATGAAATGAGAAGGGGTAGGAGAGTGAATATTGTTTTCCCATTTATGATTCCATACATGGTTAAATGGATTTTTCTTGAACTTCCTTCCTTTTCTTAATAGAGAAAACCATTAGGCATTAAATGTCAAAATGGAACTCTGTCATGAATAAAACCAATTCTGAGATAGGAATCATGAATGACAGAACTGTTTGAAAATGGTATCTTCCATATTTCTCACTGTTAACTTGGAAATGCACTCTTATGTCATTTGGTGATCCAAAAAACATAACCTAACATCAGATTGATTTTTCTGGATAAGGGTAACGAAGTTAAGTATTTATTTATGTGGCTATAATGGGTACTGCCCTGTGAATTCCACTGTAACTTTGTAATTAATGTACCATTACCTTAGAGTCTTACCAAATATTTCTGCCTTCTGGACACGAAAAAGACAAACTCTCCTATTGTTTGCAATTACCCTCATAAAAATTTGAAAGCAAGCAAAAAAAGGAAGTTTTTTTCCCCCTTTCAGGATAAGTTTGCCTTCTGCTTAACAAAATTTAGGTTTGCACTTTCCTTGTGGTGTGAAGACAGGTCTCCACTTAGGCGTGTGACTGGGTCTGCAGCCCTCTGCCCTGCGGCAGGGTGCTTTCTCTTTGAAATAGCAGTGCTGGGCAGTACCAAGAAGACCCTAAGCGGGCAAGCCCGTCCTTCTGTCCCACTCTGGATGTCAGTGAAAATAATCTTTCATCCCCTCCTGTCCTGCCTGGGCGATGGGCTGGTTGTTCATTTCTGCGAGAGTTTTTGCTCAAGACACACTCGCAAGACCTTTTTCCATAGTCTTTGTGGTTGATGCCTTAGTTAGCAATCCAGTCCCTACAAACAAAAGGAGCAGTTCTGCAGAAGTGACTCCTAAGATTTGGGGCCAGGTAGTGAGATCCAGGATACTGGGTTGAAGGGAAATTATTCCTGTGCTATTTTGGAGAGTCTCGTCCTGAGGACAATTAAACAGTCCAGACAGGTCACTGGGTGAGACCAATTTCCTGCTTTGTTTATTTGAGCCTGATTGTTTTTCACCATTGAGCAGCTGGTCACAGTCCAGCTACACCGCTCCCCCAGCTCTGTGGAGAGGATTCCCTTCCATATTCGACTTCCCAGGCTTCCCTAAGGGTCCTAGCCATATCTTTATCTGGTTGGATTGCCCTCATGTTTTCTCTCTGGTCTGGGGCAGAAGACTCTTGGTCATCACTTTGGACTTCATCTTATGCAGGCTTTTGGCTTTATGTCCCGAGTTGCCCTACAAGCAGAGAAGATGAATCATCACCCGGAGTGGTTCAATGTGTACAACAAGGTAAATAAATTGCCTTATTTTGGGATCACCCTCATTATAGAGTTTAAGAAACTTCTTTCTTCATTTGTTTGTTGTCATCCTGTGCAGGTAAGTGTCCTTGTGCTTAGGTAAATATTCAGTTATTCTTTCTCTCAGAATCCCTACAGATTGCTAACAGATTTTCAGATCTGCTCAAGAGAACAGTGACTAAGTTCTTTATTTTCATGCTTGTCTTCTACTGAAACTAGTAGGAAAAACTTGGGCTGAATTAGGCTCTGGAATTAAACTTGAATATCAGTCATGTAGATAAATTTTTAAACCCTCAGGATAGCAAATAAGATATAGCCTTAATTATCTCATTGAAATAAATTTGCTCAAGAATTGTATTTAAATAATAACTATTTATTAAATTCTGTTTCCTCACTAGGACCTGACCTTAAGAGAAAGAGCAGACTGGAAAGACCTAATCAAGTAGTTTTAAGAGGGCCCAGTGAGAAGAATCAGGCTCTCTCAAAGAGTGTCTTTGCCTTAATGATTATGACATATAGAATGTCTTACCATCTAGATTCCTGTGTGGTTCTGTGTCTCTTTGAAAAAAGAAAATTTCAGAGTATTCTTGTGATTTATTGGAATAATTCCAAGCTTGCAGGAACTCTTCTTGCCTAATTGCCTTTTTTTGCCCATAATTTTTCTTTTGCTTTCTAATTGATTTGTCAAGAGGAGCATTGTATTCCTCCACCACACCCACCCCACCTTCACCCCACTTCTCTAATTTGGAAATGGGCTTTTTTTAACATGTTTGCTAAGATACTACATTTGATAGCTTGGTTTTTCTCAGTGGCCTGAAAATAGTTGGTGTAATTAAAGTAATGGGAGCTAAAATGGAACCTCAGTCTCTCTCTTTTTTTTTCTCAAGAGACAAGATTTGAGATTCTGGCAGCTCATTTGCTCTTCACATGAGAGAACTTTTTATCCCTGGGTGGCTGCTGGGCCCAGCCTGAAGCCAACTATGCCCCTGGAGTTTGCTGGGTTTTAGAAATGCATTGCTTATTCATAATGCAGTATTTTCTAAATCATTTAATCTCCTCAATTCTCCAAGATAAATATTGAGTAGTAGATTGATTTCTGAACCACCAAGGGAGACTTTCCGGAATTGTAGCTCAGGGTTTTAAAAACTGCCTCTCTTTCTTAGGTCCAGATAACTCTCACATCGCATGACTGTGGTGGACTGACCAAAAGAGACGTGAAACTGGCCAAGTTTATTGAAAAAGCAGCTGCTTCTGTGTGATTTCATCTAAAACGCATGTAAAATCTTATATGCATCTTAAGCGCCAATGTATTTTGAAGGCAATTTAAATGAAAAAATTAAGTTGTAAATTTAGCTCACCTTTTGAAGTATTGCATTTTGTAAAAATCAGTTCTTAAAAAATAAAGATGACTTAAACTTGAGCCTGAGGTATTTTTCTTTGTATCTAATCATGTACATAAGGTAAATCAACCCAAGTAATTCTATTAATAATATTCAGAAAGAGAAATAGCATTCTGAAAGACCAGAAATTGGCATGGGGGAGCATTCACACATTTTATAATCCAGAAATTGAATGAATTATGATGACTTTACAAATGCATTGTGTTGCGGAACAGCTGTAAGGTAGAAAAAGAACGATGAACTCTGTAGGTAAACTGAAATGTGATGACTTTAACCGTATGTAACGATTCTTATGATGCTGAAGTTGATTGGAATCTCAGCTGCTGTTACTCCTTAAGTAGTGAATTAAATTACAGATGTCACAAAAATTGAGTGAGCCGTCTTGTGTTTTATCCTTACATTTCAAACAGTGAATGAAAGGAGAGGGCAAGTGTCTTGTCCGTGGCTTCCAGCAAGTGGGGCAATATAAGAATTCAACCTGCCATGTCCTGATTTGACATTCTGAATTCTGGAGGAACCAAGGGTCATCTTTTTTCATTTGCATATTGTGACCCCTGAACTGAGAGTCTGTAGCCACTGAGCTAGAAGCTCTGGGTGTTAGCCAGTACTGAGCTCTATTTACTCCGTGTGTCACTGACAGGAGTAAAATGGAATATAAAGTAATCTATTATTTAAAAAATGCAGTAACTGTTCTTTGAGGCAACTCTGGAATGAAGTTATTAATGAGATTAGAATGTAGATTAAAAGAATGTATATATATCCATCCAAGGAACATGTGTTATGGTAGTAGGATTTAACAGGGATCATCTTTATACCCCACTTCACTTCAGAGGCCAGAAAAATCACTCTGCGTCACGAGAAGCAAAGCTTCCCCTCCCCACCCAGCCCCAGCCCCAGCCCCAGCCTCAAGTCTAAGAAACCATATGGAAATGTGACAAGGAAGCTGAGCTCTCTGAAGCCGGTTTTTGTCTGGTTCTCTTGGCCTTGGAGAGGCCGGTATGGTCAGTTTGCCGTGTGTGTGGAGTGGGCAGGGGGCGAAGGGAGAGAAGAGCCACCCAGGCTCTGTGGCTGCTGGGGGTCCAGAGCCTGGACATTTGAACTTGTACTTCTTTGAAATTTTTCAGAGGAAAAGTCAAAGCTATGTGTTTTTAGAAACTGTTTCCTATATTACAGATTTGGTAACTTTTATACATTTTATTACCAAATATTTTTTTAAAATTTTATTTAAGTACTGTCAGTTATAATGTGTAAATTTCTGGTATACAGCACAATGTCCCAATCATGCATGTATATACATATATTTGTTTTCATTTTTTTTCATTTAAGGTTATTACAAGATATTGAACATAGTTCCCTGTGCTATACAACAGAAACTTTTTTAAAATCTATTTTTATATATAGTGGCTAACGTTTGGAAATCTCAAACTCCCAAATTCATCCCTTCCCACCCTCTTTCCCTGGTAACCATAAGACTGTTTACTATGTCTGCGAGTCTGTTTGTTTTGTAGATGAGTTCATAATGTCTTTTTTCTTTTTTTTCAGATTCCACATATGAGTGATATCATATGGTATTTTTCTTTCTGACTTACTTCACTTAGAATGATGATTTCTAGGTTCATCCATGTTGCTGCAAATGGCATTATTTTATTCTTTTTTATGGCTGAGTAGTATTTCATTGTATAAATATACCACAACTTTTTTATTCAGTCATCTGTTGATAAGACATTTGGGTTGCTTCCATGTCTTGGCTGTTGTGTATAGTGTTGCTATAAGCATTGGGGAGCATGTATCTTTTCAAATTAGAGTTCCCTCCTGATATATACCCAGGAATGAGATTACTGGATCATATGGTAGGTCTGTTTTTAGTTTTTTGAGGAATCTCCATACTGTTTCCATAATGGCTGCACCAAACTGCATTCCCACCAGCAGTGATGGAGGGTTCCCTTTTCTCCACACCCTCTCCAGCATTTATCATTCGTGGACTTTTGAATGATGGCCATTCTGACTGGTGTTCCCAAAGATTTTTAGTTCAGTACTTCAAACTTTTTACATGAACTTTTAAAAATGAAAAAATTTAAACATATTTAAAAATAGAGTAAATAGTACATTCAACCCCTGTGTACTAACCCTAACCCTCACCTTACCTGGATGGTGGGATTTAATAGTTACCAAGATTTTGCCCCAGTTACTCCATATAATCCCCCATTTCCTTTTTCTTTGCTGAAGTATTTAAAAGCAAATCCCAGATAGCATGTCATTTTACCCCTGCATCCTTCAGTAAACATCTCTAGAAAGTATGGTCATTTTTTGGGGTAATCCAGAATGCTATCATCACACCTAACAAAATAAAACATGATTTCTTAGTATCACCTAATACCTGGGAAAATCAAACTGCTCTGAATGTCAAGAATGTCTTTTTTTTTTAAATTTTTTTTGGGGAGAGGTAATTAGATTGATTGATTTTAACAGAAGTTCTAGGTATTGAACCCAGGACCTCGTGCATGCTAAGCATGCACTCTGCTGCTGAGCTACCCCCTCCCAGCCAAGAATGTCTTTGGACGTAATTTTGTTCTAATCAGGATCCACATGAAGTTCACTCATCACATCTGGTTGTTGTCTCTCTCTAATCTTTCAGTTTGGTACAAGCAAGCGCCCCATCCCCCTACCCTGTCCACGCCAACTTCCCCTTTCTCTCCATGTCTTTGATTTATTGTAAAAACTGGGTCATGTTGAATATTCTGAATTCATTTGTTTGCTTCCATGTGGTGTTATTTAGCTTGTTTCACTGTACCCTGGACATCTTTCCCCCTATTTTGAATGTGAATCTGAGAGGCTAAACTATTAACCTACACCACGGAGAGCACAGTGGAGAGAGTGGATACGGTTTATAGTTGAGACGGTGAAGACCTGAGAACACAGCTGTTAATTAACATCTCAGTGAAGGTGTGACAAATGGGCAACATTAAGGGGCATCACATCTGCTGGAACTCATGAACTTAACTGTAGAGAATCAAAGATCCCATATCAGAAGTCTGTGGAAATACTCCCTGTGGTAATTCCAACAAAATGAATCCCCAGACTTGCTTTAAGTAACTCATTTCAGCTTAAAAGAGACATTGTCAAAATTGGAGGCTCCCAAGTTTTCTTCTGTTCCATGGCTTTGTGTGATGACAGTGGTTTCTCTGATGTGGTAACCTTTGATTTCCCTCCTTTTTCTTTCTAAATGACCGCTGGAGTAGAGGGGAGTTAAGTAGGCATGACCTTTGACGCTTTGCATGACCTCTGTAGATAATAATTCAAGGCTAGCATGTTTGACAGTGTTGTTTTCTAAAGTGAAGTTAATGAAAGTTCTGAAAATACTATGTACTTTCTGACATGTATAATGCATGTGGACACAGAGCTGACCTCTGTTAGTGTTGAAGTATTGGACTACTAGTGTTAGTGTGGAGTAGTCTATACTTTCTAATCCAGCATCCAAAAATATCCTAGTTGAACTCGGTAACTTCTAGTTTTATAAAGTTTCCTGCAGAACAGCCAGAAATGGAATGGGTTTAGCTATGATACGTGAACTTTGTCTTTCAATTCCAGTTACACATGGAACTTGGCCGGAAGACTTGAATCACCAAGGTGCCGTGCCTGCTGACTGCTGACTGTCCTCAGCTGTGTGCTGCTGAGTTGGCGCTGCCCGTGTCGGGCTGAGTGTGAGCTGCTGCTGGAAGGACAGAAGAGATGGCCCTTTAGCTTCTCATCTCAGGATGCCCGCCCTGCCCACCTATCCTTAAGGAGATAGGGATGATTTCAGTAGGGCTGAATTAGTGCGTCACCTCTGATGCCACCCACCAGCTGGAGTCCTGGTCCCAGACTAGATGTTTTCGTCAGTGACTTCAGAAACCATGTTCAGCTGTGGTTGGCTGCGCTGGTGTAGTCCACCAAGAGCAACTGGGCTCTTTTTGACTGCTTCCACCTGGCCATCTTTCCTCACCTGTCCAAGCCACCAAGAAGGAGTTTTTTACATCCTTAATCTCTTATTCATTTCTCCCCAAAGGCATGCTTTGGTGCTTAAAGAGGGGAAGGACAGATGTGTACCGTTGGGGTTCCTGGAAATCAAATCCTGCTAGGCTCAGCTACTTGAGTGAGTGTAAGGGCCCCTGAGCCATTCATTTGTATATTCACCTAGCACACATTCACTGAGATCCTTGTCTGCCCCAGCAGGATTAGGCACATTGATGTATCGGGGCAGGTGGAAACAGAGATGGAGAACTGATTCAGGCTGTCCCAAGCAGCTGCTCCAGGAGGCCACTGTGGGCATATTGGGCAGGAGCCCAGAAAGCGTTAGGGGGCATACAGCCCCAAGGGAGGCAGTGGGAGGCATGGGAGGAGCTTGATCCCAGAGGGAGAGAATGTAGAATGAGAAGATGAGGCCAAAGTTTGAATCTAGGGGATGTTCATCAAAAAGTTTTTTAAAGCTTTGCTGTTGATGAATTTAAGTGGAGAAATTGAGTATAATATAAGATGTAATTTCCCAGGTCAGCATACTGCTTACCCACGAGAGTATTTCCTTACCCGAAATGGTCGCATATGCTTATTTTAGAATTCTGGGCACAGTGGAGGTGGTGAGGTGGTCATCACCTTTTATTATGGCCTAAGAAATTAAGTTTTGAGGAATTTGAACAACTTAGCCACTAAACATTTAATTCAACCCAGGACTATCCAGAAGTCTGTTTGGATTTGCCTTGGAAGCCAAAGGGGCTTGGAGAAGTAGAATGAGGGGAATATATTAGTTCCAAGAATGGAACAGAGCAGAAGACCGTATTCCTCTTGTACCTGAGACATCTCTACCCATGGCTAATCCCTTATACTCTGTTGGTGTGGTTCATACATGCACATTCCACGCCCCTGGTTAGCCAGTGCTGGGCATGAATATCTCTGCACCTCCTGTTTCTTGTGTTCTAGCCCCAAATCCATCAAAATCTTTGTGTCCTTCCAGGGGTCTCCAGTGCCATGCCCGGGATGTGCACTCTTGCTCTTAAACTCCAGGGAACTTGGCTTTCCCCTCTTCTGTGACCCTTAACCTATTCTAACACATTATTAAGGGGTTTTGTCTGTCGGATATGGGTGCTTCCTGAAGAAGGAGGGTCTGGCCCAGAGCTTCACAGTTAATGGAGTGCTTGTAAGTCTTTTGCTGAACTGAGGTGCTTGGGCTCCTTGGGAAGAGAGGATCCGTGGGCAGATCAGCCAGGGACTCTCCCCTCCAGGGGCCTGCAGCCTAGTAACTATTGGAACGCCCAAGAGTGACCTCACAAAGAGTGACCTCAAAGTGGACCCTGCTCTGCAGCCTCTTGGAATCTAGATGCCAAGGAAACTCCTAAGCAAGGGTTTTCTGTTGGATGGTAAAAGCGAGGAATAGAAATTGAAAATTTGGAAAATGTCTCAACAGTTTCATCACCAAAACGACACAAAAGTTATTTCTAGCTCACTGTTAGATAATGCGTCACTGCTGTTCTGTGGGAGATTCTGGAAATTTCAGTAAGTATTCTCTATGTCTATTGCTTGTGAAGAAGTGTGCAGGTGGCAATGCTGGGGCCTCTTGGCCCTTCTCGCAGCACTCATCCACCTCCCAGACTGAGGCAGTCGTCCTTGATGATCTGATTGCTCTGACTGGTGAGGCTGGTGATGGCTCAGCCAAACAGTTTGCTTCCTGGGCTTTAATATAACATTTGGCTGGTTAATCAAACTAAAGTCACACTCTCATTTGACCTGTAGGCGGAAGGACTAATTTGACTCCTTTTTGTCCTTTTTTATTTGCTACTGTGTTAGATAATTTGAAGGTTTGTTTTTGTTTTACTAACAGACTTGATCTCAGATTATATAATGAAAACTGCATATCTTGTTTTTATACATCATAAAAGTATATACATTCTCTCTCTATATTTTTTTACTGAGTGAAACTATCATTTGCTATATATATTGGAAAAAAGTAGCACATACTCTGAGAAAATTCGGAAAGCACAGATGAATGTAAAAAATAGGAACAAGAATCACCTATAACCTCACCATTTGTAGGCAGACACTATCAACAATTTGGCATATTTCATGCCAAATTTTTTTCTTTCTGTTTTGCACAGTTGAGATAATTTCGAATGGAGAAATTTTATCTTGCTTTGTTTCTGTATTCTGCTTTCCAGGGGTCATAAACATTTTTCTAAATCATGAAAAATGCATAGACATGTTGTAGTGTCTGTATAATATTACATGAGATGGATATGCCATAATTTACTTAACTTTTTTTTGTTTTTTAGTCTTTTTAATTGTTTCCAAGTTCTCTTTGCTGTAAATAATGCTGGGATAAACATGTTTGGCTAAAGTCACTGTTTGCATTTCATGTTGTATTCTCTTGGAATAGATTCCTTGGGTCAGAGGGTAACGAGGGTAAGGCTTTTCAGAAAAGCTGGTCAGTTTGCATCTCCCCTGCAGTTTATGGGACTACTCCCTCACACTCTTGCCGGCATGAAATATGGTCATATTTAAGTCTCTACTAATTTTATAAGCACAATTAATAGTTTTACTCTAATTTGCAACTCTTTCATGAGTTGACTGCCCATTTTTTCTTAGGGTGGTCAGTTTTTTATCATTGATTTATAAGCGCTTGTACAGGTGATTGGTTAGCAGTTTTCCCTACTTGATTGACATTGTATACCCAGTGCCCACTATGTTGCCTGTCAGGTAGTAGTAACTCAGTATAAACTTGTTGAATGAGTGAATACAGGTAATGTTTTGTTTCACTTGAGAAGAAGTAACCATTCTTTTTCGAAGGTCTAGAGAGAAGGAACTGAGTAACCGAGTGGGGACATACACACTGTGTAATCATCATTCATATTTCATTCAGTTAGTATTTCACTGCAATTTTAAAGTATATATAAGTTTACATCCATAGAAGGGGGGAAGCAAACCCTAGTCCCTACAAAAAAATACGCATTGTTTGGGGATCTGTCCCTGTAGTATGATAATCATAACTCTTATTCATCTTTTTGACAGGAGAAAAGAGTCTCAATTTCAGGCATTTGTGAAGAAGTTCTTAGCGAGTCGTGTCTTTATGATAATTATGATTAGCACCATCATAAGTAATGCCATAGTTATGATCTTGTGGACTTATCCAAAGTCAAGACTCCCCTTGTTCAGATTTTTTGAGGTAAGCAGATAAAGTGGGTCCATTTCTTCTATTTCACCTGTTTTATTTTTGAGAATGTTAAAAGATTTTTAAAACATTTTGTTAAAAAATTTTTTCTGTAGGAAAATTCTAAGGACTTTAAAAAGTACTCAAAAATCTGGGAAGACAGCAGCAGCAGTAGCAACAGTGACTTGGTTTTTTGATATCCTTGGATTCCCTCTTAGGAAAAGACAGAGCAACTAGACAGCAAAACCAAAAACCCATGCTCAGCATGTACATTGAGACTAGTTAACAAGTTACCCTTACCAAGAGCCACACTGCATAGTATTAGCATCTGTGGGAGATGAAGCAGGGGAGTAAGGATTCACTGGAAATAATGGTGGGCTGATGTGAGAACAGCAGTTGAGATCGGGAAGCGTGCTGCCTAATCCACTACTGTGGTAGGGCAAGAGGTTTCTGGAGATTTCTGTAGGGGCTGGAACAGTATAGACCCTGTGAACTTTCAAAACTAACCATCTAGGGCTTCTTTCAAGGACAGCACTCCACACTTAGGAGAAATATTGGGAGTGGAATGAAAATTGAGCAGATTAGGAACCCAGAGAAGTTCAGATAAAACTGGAGGGGACTAGAACCAGGAAACCTCAGAAATCAAGCTGCAACATTTTAAATCAAGAGGGAATATTTGAAAAAGTTAGACTCACACTTTCTCCTAAAAGTTCGAGAAAACTAAACTGATATTAAAAAACGCAATAGAAAAAGATTGAGGTAAAATCCCATACAACATTATTATCAGAAAAAAGAGAGTACCCAATCAAAAAAAAAGGGCAGAAGACCCAGACATTTCTCCAGGGAAGACAAACAACTGGCCGATAAACACATGAAAAGATGCGCAGTATCGCTAATTATCAGCAAAATGCAAGTCAAAACTACAATGAGGTATCATCTCACACCAGTCACAATGGCCATCATTCAAAAGTCCACAAGTGATAAATGCCAGAGAGGGTGTGGAGAAAAGGGAACCCTCCTTCACTTTTGGTGGGAATGTAAATTGGTGCAGCCACTATGGAAAACAGTATGGAGATTCCTTAAAACACTAAAAATAGATTTACCATATGATCTAGCAATCCCACTACTTGGCAGCAGATATCCAGAGAAAACTCCAATTTGAAAACCCGGTGTTCATAGCAGCATTATTTACAATAGGCAAGACATGGAAGCAACCTAAATGTCCATCAACAGATGACTGGATAAAGAAGTTGTATATATATACAATGGAATACTATTCAGCCATTAAAAAAATGAGGTAATACCATTTGCAGCCAGATGGATGTACCTAGAGATTATCATACTAAGTGAAGTAAGCCAGAAAGAGAAAGACAAATACCATATGTTATCACTTATATGTGGAATCTACAAAAATGATATGAATTTATTTATGAAACCGAAACAGACTCACAGACATAGAAAACAAACTTTTGGTTACCAGGGAGGAACGGGGGTGGGAAGGGATAAATTGGGAGTTCGAAATTTGCAGATACTAACTACTATATGTAAAATAGACAAACAACAAGGTCTTACTATATAGCATAGGAAACTAAGTTCAATACCTTGTAGTGGCCTATAATGAAAAAGAATATGAAAAAGACTATACACACACACGTATATATGTATATAATGGAATCACTTTGCTGTACACCAGAAACTAATACAACCTTGTGAATACACTACACTTAATAAAAAAAGAAAAAAGAGTGAAGTGGAAAATAATATCCCTGTAGATAATGAAAGCCCACCACAAAGATATGTGCACAAAAACAGATAAAAAACGGTGCTGTATAATTGCAGAGCAAGGTGAATGTTTAAGAAAATGATATAGGAAAGAACAGAAGTGAGGTGACAAAACTCAGGAAAGAATTAGAAATAAAACTGTTGAAAAATGAAGACTAAACTAGACTAGGAGCAATTAAATGCAACAGATAATAGCTTAAGAGAAATACAGGATTAAAATGGGAGAAATTCTTAAAAATCAATAAGAAATGAAGAGATAAAAAGGATTTAAGAGAAAATGATGAACATTGGAGATGAAGGAAAATTGATCCCATGTAAGGATATTAGGAGTTTGAATTTGAAACAGAAACAAAGTAAAGGAACAGAATAAACAATAAAATCTATACTGTAAGAACAGTTACCTGAAATAAAAGAACTGAAACTATACTGAAAGAGCACACATTGCATACTGAGAATATGGACTTACAAGAACAAACACCAAAATCTATTCTAGTAAAATTATTAGATTTTAAAGGAAGAAAGAGTGGAGGAAATTGTAAGCTTCTAGGCAGAAGCTTATAAGGAAAAGAAAATTAATTATTATCAGACTTTGCTATGGTAATGCTTTATGCTAAAGAAAATGGAGTAACGCATGTAAGATACTTCAGGAAATGAAATGTGAACCATGAGTTCTAGATTTAGCAAAAATGACTTAAGTATAAAGGGCACAAACTGTATTCAGTGTTAAAAAACTTGGCCGATATTGTTCCCCTGAGCCCCTCTTTAGGAACCTAGTAAAGAATAAGTTTCAGCCAACCAAAATGACTAGCGAAGCATCAACGTTAGGACTGACAGTGGACACAAAATATTATTATTTATTGAACTGACAATTATGGGTCAACAAGGAGAGAATATAGCACATTAATGAATATATCCTTGGACAATGAAGATACAGTATAACTAAAAAATGGGGAAGAATGGGGAGAGTGCAAAAAATTTTTAAGCCACTTTTTGGAAATCAACTTAGTGGTGATACTATTAGTGATATTATTCTGAGACTGTGGTGTGTGCAATACAGGATAAAGCAGATGGGAAATTATGGGACAGTTTAATGCTGTTTTCCTCTATGTCCTTGAGAACTAGGATACTCAGGGAAGAAAGGCGATATGGATGTAATACAAAGTTAGGTAAAAACCCAGGAGTTCTGCACTTAAATGGAAGTATCAACTACTAACTATATAAACTACTAACATATTTATCTTTATCCATTGAAAAACCTAGAACATTGATTAACTTGATAATTATGCATCCTTAGTGCCCATAATGTGATGTTGAACTACAGTTTCTCCCTAAAATAACTAGGAATTTTTAAAGGAATGGTTGATTATAAGTCTAGTATAGAAAATATACCAGATGAGCCAGGACTGTCTCATCATACAGATAACAAGGAAGCTATTAAAGATTACTGGGATCGTGTCAAAAGGACTCAGGACACAACTTGAAGAGGCTCCTACTGGCCAAAGATGAGCACTTTGAGCTTCAATAAGGCTAATAATTACAATGCTTTGAAACTCATCATATAATCCATACATTTATAGTGATACTAAAAAAAGCTAAGAGATCACTTTTAGAGGGTGTTAAGGAACTAATCCTTTTATCTCAAACACTGTCAAATGAAGGGAGAGAATCAAGCATTACTGATCTTTCTTAAATCCCCTGTGTTACTGAGTAACCACATAGTTGGTAAGGGTAAACTCTCTTACAGACGTGTCCCAGTTAATAAATGAAAAGGAAACAATGAAACTAGGATATCACAATTTTTCAGCACCCGTGAAGTAATAGATCTAGGCATTCTGAGCATCAGTGGCTGCTATCCTCATAAAAAGAGGGACAACTAGATCCTATGTGCCTCCTATGAAAGAACAGAACCTATAATCTTGCCAGAAAGATCAAATCTGAATCTGATCAAGCCTTTTCATCTAGCTGTCTATTTCTAGGAAACAGAAGACAGGGGAATATGAGTGTACAGTCAGCAAAATCCAGACTGGAAAATTCTACAAGTCAAACTGCCTGGGTTCTTCAACAAATAAATTACAAGGAAAGAAAAAAAAAGAATAGGAGAGTTGAAGACATAACAAATTTTAAAAATTTTTATAAGAGAACTAAAGCATTCTAGGAATGCACACATGGATTTCTATCTACAGAGAAATGCAAGGAAGTGATTACTATAAAATCAGGATAGTGGTTATATGGGGGGAAAGGGGGGAGTTGTGATTGGGATGTGGACATGGAGGGGCTTCTGGGCTAACTGGTAAAGTTCTACGTCTTGACTTAGGTGGTAGTTACAGGGATGTTGGCCTTGGAACAAGCCGTTAAGGTGGTTCTATATGTGTTTTATTGTACAATAATCATGTTTAAAATGTACTTTATCTTCATTTATGGTAAATAATAAATTTCCTTTTTGGTGGTGAAAAGGTTTCGCATTGACATAGTGTGGTGTCAGAGGTGGGGGAGGTGGTGGAATACCCTAGTTAGTGCCTGAAACATTCAGGGTCCACTTCGCACAACTTGTGTGAATGTGTTGGTATGACAGTGCCTTCCACACCACCATCCTGCAGAACTTGGCCATGGTCTGTAGAACATCGTGTTAGGTATAGGACGGTAGGGGTCAGGTGAAGAGATGCGTTAAGAGATCTGAATCCTTTGATTGCCCTCCAGAGGCCATATGGGCCACTAAACATGCCTTCCTTAGGGATCCTGGTTGGCAAGCCTGGGGAAGTTCTGTGCTTTGGAAAGGATACAGACTTGCACAGATTTGTGTTCAAGACCTAACTTGGCTACATTCTTACTCGCTGTGAGAATTTGAGCAAGTTATTTAAACTCTATGCGGTTCAGCTACAACATTTGTAAAATGATGTCATTAATACACACCTTACAGGGTGGCTATGAGGTCATTGAAAATAACATGTATGAAAAGTCCAACCATGAAATTGAAAAATTAGCAACACTCTTGAGGAATCCCAGTGAAGTTACCAGGAAAGTCCTGAAGGGTCCTGATCGCTCACCTCTGGCTAATCTTGAGACTCTGTGCAAGCAGTAAAAGAAGGTTAAGGAAGAGTTGTAAACTGTTGGAGCATTAAATACATGCCCCAACACACAGACCCCGTTGGCAGAGGCTGGGAGACTTACTGCTTCCAGGCATTAGGAATACTCTGTCAAACCATTAGCTGTTAAGCTGAGCAAAGACTTTGGTC